ACTGCATCAGTACACAACCTAAGCCGCTATGAGATGCGTCACTATAGATGGTATACTCGATGCCAGGAGTAGGTTGAATCAAGACTGGTGCCTGGGTCAGGCACTCCTTCAGTTGATCAAAACTGCGCTGGCACGCTTCTGTCCACTCAAATTTGATGTCCTTCCGCAGTAGCTTGTTCAATGGAGTAGCGATCGAGGCAAAGCCCTTAACAAATCGACGATAGTAACCGGCTAACCCAAGGAAGCTCCTCACCTCACGAACATTCCGCGGAGTCTTCCAGTCCACTATGGCTGAAATCTTGCTGGGGTCTACCTGGATACCGGTGGCAGAGATAACATGTCCTAAGAATGTCACCTCACTCAACCAGAATTCACACTTGGACAATTTTGCATACAGCTTGTGCTCTCTCAACACTCTCAAAACCAGTTGCAAATGTCTAGCATGCTCCTCCTGAGTCCGTGAATAAACCAAGATGTCATCGATGAACACTACTACGAACTGGTCCAAGTATGGTCGGAACACACTGTTCATAAGCTCCATGAACACTGCCAGAGCATTAGTCAATCCGAAAGGCATGACTGAGAACTCGTAATGCCCATAGCGTGTCCTAAAAGCAGTCTTCGGAATGTCTTCTCTCTTAACGGGAATCTGATGGTATCCAGAACGCAGATCAATCTTCGAGAATACTGTAGCCCCTCTGAGCTGGTCGAACATGTCGTCGATGCGAGGCAACGGATAACGATTCTTCACTGTGGCTTTGTTCAACTGCCTGTAGTCGATGCAAAGTCTCATGGATCCATCCTTCTTTCGAACAAATAACACCGGTGCTCCCCATGGGGAAACGCTAGGTCGGATGAATCCCTTTTCCAGTAGCTCTTGCAACTGAGCCTTCAACTCGTTCATCTCGGCAGGTGCTATACGATACGGTGTAGCAGATATGGGTTCCGTACCCGAAATGAGATTGATCGAGAACTCTACCTCTCTCGGCGGAGGCAAACCAGGTAGGTCTTCGGGAAAGACATCGGGGAAGTCGCAAACCGTACGGATGTCCTGCTGACGTGGTGATTCTTTTCGCATATCCTGAACGTGACACAGGAACATCTCGCACTTCTTGCGAATCAAGCGTCTCGCGCTCAAGGACGATATGAACTCGGGAGCCTTGGGGAACACCTCCCCAGAGAGTGATACGTCGCTACCGTCCTCGGCTCTCAGCCGTACGGTCCGACAACTGCAGTCGACCACTGCTATATGCTCGGTGAGCCAATCCATACCAAGGATAATGTCAAACTCCTTGTGTGGTAGCTCTATCAAATCTGCAGGGAATTGCTTCCCTTGCACGGACAACGGACACCTATGATAGATGTGATGAAGACGCATGCTATGTCCTAACGGATTCAATACAACGGTAGGTATCTCAAGGTCACTCCTCACGATCACAGAATTAGCAAGCATGCCAACACAGATATAAGAGAGCGTAGAACCCGGATCGATCAAGGCATGCATAACCGAATCAAATAGTATGAACGTACCCAAGATAACATCGGGACTAGGATCTGTGCGCCCCTGCATGGCGTAGGTACGCGCTGGTGCCCGGCCTGACTGCTGCGGATGTGGTCTCTGCTGATTATTTGCGGCCGTAGACTGCTGACTCCGTGCTAGATGCGATGCGGCAGGCTGATCCGGAGCTCTAGGAAAAACAGGCTCGCTGCTAGGGTTTGTCGGGCAATGCCCCCTGAAATGCCCTGGCTGACCACAACCCAAACATAAGCCTTGGGCGAGCCAACACTCGCCCGGGTGATGCCTACCACACTGTACACACTGCGGGTGGCTCCTCGTTCTGATCGAGTTGCTAGCGGCGGCTGACGGAGACGGCTTCGACTTACTCCTCTTAGGCGGCGGCGCACTCGAAGAACCCTTCTCGTACCTCTTTCCCCCGAATCCAAAACTCTTCCCGCTCGGCACGGTGCTGGCCGCGGGTCGCGGGTTTTTCGTCGCTCGATCCTCCTTCTTGGTTGCCTGCAAATCGTCCAAGCTCTTTTCCGTCTTCACAATCAAATCATACGCCGCATTAAAATCTGTCGTCGTGATCAGCGCGGCGTACGGCCTCAAGTCCGGCCGTAGCTTCTTGACGAACTCATTCAAACGATCCCCCGGAGTGGAGACCAGACTCGTCGCATACTGGGACAGGTAGTCGAACTTCTGTCTCAGTTCAGGCAGTGACATCCCCTCCTGCTTAAGCGCAACGAACTCACCGCGCCTCTCCTCGCGGTACCGGGTGGGGACGTACTCCTTCGTGAAGGCTCGATCAAAGCGATCCCAGGTCCAAGGCTTGGGCGTGTGTGGATCCTGGTCAATGCGCTTCCACCAATCATATGCTCCCTTCCGGAACATCTGTGACGCCAACTCCGAGCGATCTGCATCAGGGACTCTCAAATTCTTGAGTACCCGGTCCATCTGCTCATGCCAATCCAATGCAATCTGGGGCTCCCCCATCTTGTCTCCTCGAAACTCTTCCGCTCCATTATCCTTCAACGTCTTGAAGGTAACGATGCGCGGCTGCGGCTGTGGTGGTGGCGGTGGCTGGAACATGGGCATAAGCTGCGCCATGTGCTGCATATAATGGGCCATCATGGCCGGGAACATCTGCTCGTAGGCCACCTGCGGCATCACCAACGGTGGCATCACTGGAGGTGGTACGACTGGCGGTGGTACAACTGGTGGTTGTCCCGCTGGCTCAGGTTGATTCTGCTGTTGCCCTCCGTCACCCGGAGGCGTGAAACTCGAACCCTCGGTGTTCACCGTGTGCACGCTCACGTGCTCCGGCTCCGGAACGTACTGACCATGGGTCGATTCTTGACTCATTCTAAAATAATAAGGAAATTCCCAAGTCAGATATTAACATATAACAGATAAAGCTATAAATACTTATTACCTTCTCGGGGCAAGGGAGTTACGTGAGATGCAGATGCGGCTGAATTATTCATTGTATTTTATTTTGAAAGGGTCCAAAGACCGATTTTAAAACCAAATGCTCCGATACCAAAATGTAACACCCCAACCCGCATAACCCAAACCCGTGAGACAGCGGACCGGTGTGCCACTGGATTGGTATCCGAATATACAACATTTTCAAAACAATTTTAAA